CTGAGGGTTGCGATCCGTTGCCGGACACGGAAAAAGACAAAAAAAAAAAAAAAAAAAGAAGGATCTTCAGGTGGACAGTGGAGTGAACTAATAAAAGCGGAGCTCGCGTGGTGGTCAAGGGTGGTAGGAAGGAAACAACTGGCAGGGACAACATGAAGGGGGAGGAACAGTGAGGGCTGTCAAAGCTGGAGCTACATGAGGCAGAAGAGCAAGGGGGTAACTCCCAGCATGACCCCCGAGTGGCAGACAGGATAGCCTTACCTGTCAGGGGGTCATCCGTCAGGTCTTACCCTGCCCCCACAGAGTGGGGGGCACCTTCAGCAGGAGGGACCTGCACTTAAGTCCCAGTTTTCTTGGGCTCTGGAGGCCTCATCAATCTATACTAAGTGACAGTATGGTTTCTTCCCCCGTGGACAGGAAGCTAAATTTCATCTGTGAGTATTTGCATGTGTGTGTGTGTGTGTTCCTCCCTCCCAGGGAGTTCTAATGCCCACCCCACCCCCTTCCATTCCTTGCTGCTGAGAAATCAGATGACTTCTGGTATCCAGGCTAATGGCTTTTATTAACCAAATGCTGACACATCCCCAATACATACGGTGCCTAATTAAAAACCTGCTTGCCTGGCCAGCTTTCAGAGAAGCAAGCACTTCTCAAACAGGGAATGGGTTTTTCCAGTAGATAGGAAATGATGTCATGCTAACGATCTGTAAGATGCCTTTCCTCTGCAATAAAAGTGCTTTGTGTGTGTGTGTGGGGGGGGGGGTCCTGGCCTGAGAGGAGTGGAGCTGAGTAGCCTTGAGGTTTGCTCCATCCCCCGTGGGCTGGTGGCAGAGCCCAGTCTCTGCAGATCACTGGGCTGCACCCAAGGAGCCCCACCTCTGCTGCGACATTCCTACCACTTTCTGGCAGTCAGTGCCCACCCCCTCATGATCTAACTTGTTCATCAGCACCCAGTGAGCACCTGTCATCACAGGACCTCAGCAAAGACAGTGGGCTGTGGCCTCCTGAAAGCTCAGCTCAAAACTGGGTGTGATTGTTCTTTCCAAAACTACTCCTCCCTCCTGCTCCTGTAGGTGTTAACAGACATGGCCAGACCTAAGCCCGTCCCACTGTGTTGAGTTTCATCCCAACCCCTTTTAGAAGAAACTTTAAGCTTAAGTTCCTTTTGTAAGCAAATAAGTGTAGACTTTGGTTTTGGTCTATTCTTAAGCAAAGTGGGGGGAAAATAAATGTTTTCTATATTTCTATTTCCTTTTTTTCTTTTTTGCTAAATGCTTTTTATAAACATTTAATAAATAATTGTCTCAGATATAAATTTAAATATCTCACTAAATAGGAACAAGTTGTAGTTATATGCCTTTGAGACAATGTCTGAATGACAACTTGAGGCAGCATAGTATGTAGCAAGAATAAATTTAAAGTTAGAAGACCTAAGTTAAGTTTCTGGCACTAGAGATTTTTTTTATGATCATGACTTGGAGGAGAGGGGGTGTTACTGGCATGCAGTGGGTAGAGGCCGGGGATGCTGCTAAACACCCCGCAGTGCACAGGACAGCCCCTGCCTGCACACACACAACAAAGGATTATCCAGCCCCAAATGATGTTGAGAAACTGCTCTGGATAAACTCCTGTACAAGAATATTCACACAACAGTTTTTTGTAATAGTGAGAACTGGAACCATCCCAAATGACCATCAGCAGTGGACTGGATAAGTAAATTGGGACCATATTCATACAAGGAAATAGGATAAAGCAATCAGGTTGAGTTGAACTACCACTACGTGCAGCAACAGGGCTCGTCTCAAAAATGCTGAGTGCGTGATGGTATAATACGATTCCTTTTGTACTGTCAGAAAACAGGCAGGCTACGTATATTATTTAGGGATACTTACATGTGTGGTAAAACCACAGTGACAAGCGGCAGGATTACTCGTACAAAATGTACTGTAGTAGGGTAGTGGTTAATTCTGGTGGGGAAAGCAGTGTAGAGACGCACCTGCAGGTTTCTAAGGCATTGGCAAAGGTTTCATTTCCAGAGTTGGGGAAAGAAGGATAGATACACGTCTGTTCGTTTCATTATTTAAATGTATACATATGCTTTCTGCACTTTTGTATGGATGTGTGTTTTCCACATTTCTATGCCGGAGACACAATAATAACAGCAGCTCATGTTTATGAGGAGCTATGTGCAGCTGGTCTGGATGCAGCGGTGTTTACAACTGATTGATCGCAACCAGTTACAGATTTCTTTGTTCCTTCTCCTCTCCCACTGCTTCACTTGAGTAGCCTTAGAAAAATTAAAAAATAAAAAATATAAAAATATTTTTTAAAAAAGGAGCTATGTGCTTTTGCAAAGCCTTGTCAGGGAGGGTATTTTTGTTCTTAGAGAATGTTTAGGGGTTTATAGCGCCCACAGATGGAGCTGGATTTGAACTTGAGCAGGCCAGTGCCTGCCTCTGTGCTCCAAACCACCACACAGTGCTGCTGCCTTCTGTTGGTTCCCATCTCTCATCTGCCTCCACTCTCTCCACAGTGTCCGGAGACAAACAACCAGTCGGCCTCCCCCAGCAGGGGGCAGACCCAAGCCCCAGCCCAAGCCTAAGCCTCAGGTGCCACAGTGCAAGGCTTTGTATGCCTATGATGCTCAGGACACAGACGAACTCAGCTTCAATGCCAATGACATTATTGATATTATCAAAGAAGGTAAGTTGCTGGCTGGCTGGCTGGGACAGCCTCCTAAAGAGCATGCAGTCATATTGCTGTAAAAACTTGTTTAAACATGAAGGGAATTTATGGGCTCCTCTAACCAAAACTTGTAGAGGCAGGTGAGGCTTCAGGTTCAGTTCGATCAAGACTCCATCTTTTTTTTATTGCTTCTTTATGCTCTGCCCTTTTTTTTATATCTGCTGTCTTCTCAAGACATTTTTCTTCATGGTAGCAAAATAACAGTGGCAATTCCAGGTCAACATTTTAAAACATGTCTAAAATCTGCCTCAACTCTGAAAATTCCTTTCTTAGTCATTGGACAAAAATCCTACATTTCACTCTGATTGGAAAATTAGTCATGTGCCCATCTCTGAACCAAACTCTGTAGCAGGACAAAGGCTGTACCCTGAGTGGGTAGACGTGTCAGGGACTGCCCTGGGAAATGGGGTGAAGTTTATCCCACCTAAACTTCTTGGCTTCCTCATAATGAAAGTAGATACAATGGTCACCAGGGAGCAACCTATAATCTCCATTGTAAAAGTGGTCCATGGGATTGGCCAAGTGTTTTTTTAATTTGGTAGAGAAGATATATATATATATCATATTATATAATATATATAATATAGTTATATAGAGATAGAGCAAAAAGACATATATTATGTGATCATATAATTTGAACATATATATGTTCTATACCAAAAGATCTATATAATATATATGATTATATATATATATATAATCACACAAGTGCTTGTGGAAACAAAAAATAAAGATAACTTCTGACTTCAGATGTTAGAAAAAGCACCACGAAATGGTACTTGTGGTGAGGAGTGGGGAGAGTTCTCTGAGAGAGAGAGACAGAGACAGACAGACAGACAGAGAAGCCGTGGAGACTAGAAAGAGCAGGTCGTTTTAGGAAAACAGGTCAACCCTTGTCCAGGGAGCAGAATCCCCACAGAGATGTTATGGGAGATGAGATAAGCTGGAGATGGCCTGATGGTAGAAAGCCCTGAACGTCAGTCTTAAGATAACTTGCAGAGACAGTGGGGAACCATCATCCGAGATTTATGAGCAGAGCAAGGACGACCAGAGTGAATAGCAGTTCTTGGAAAATTTAGCTTTCAGGAGGAGGTGTCCAAGGACAGGTCCAGGAATTGTGGTTTTAACAGGTTCCTTCATCACATGAGCACACTCCGAGGACATGCCAGGTCCCTGGACCAACCTCCTCCCAAATGGCTTCTGAGTGTTGTTTTTTAATTTTCTACAGGATTTAATATTTTAAGCCATTTAGTATCCTTCCTCAAAGGTATCAGAGTAAAATTAAGTGTTGAAATAAACTCTTAGTAAACACAAACAGGATTTTTATTACCAGCTTTGTTCAGCAAAACTACTGAAAATGACCTAATAACAGGGAATTGGTTAAATAAGCTTACTGTGTTCAGTCAGTAAACTTTGATGCAAAACTTTTTTATTAAAGATAATAATATAAGAGGTACAGTATATTTATTTGTGAGGAAAGGAAAACATTAGGTGATAGATGTGGACTATACTCTCATTTTGTAAAAATATAAAGTATATATAGCTATATGTGTGTATGCAGATATATTTCTGTGTGTATGTTACAGAAAATATTTAAAGTGGTCTCCTTAAGTGTTGAATTTACAAGCAAGTATTACTTTCTTTTTCGTTTCTCAATATTTTCAAATTTTTCTAAAAATAACATGTATTAGGTATAATTAAAACAATTATATATTTGCACGTAAAATGTAGATTCCTAGAAGTTATCAAAACATGCTATCAGTTATCACTATCATTTAAACTATGTGTTGTGAATGCACAAATAGACATATAAATAGAAGAGATAGTATAGAATCCAGAAACAGATCCATGTATATATGGATCTGGGCGTTTAATATACGATAATGTGGCCTTTTAAATCAGAGAGTAAAGGATAGACAATTACTTTCCATTTTGAAAAGAAAAGAAGGGCCGGCCCGGTGGCGCATTGCTACAGTGCGCCGCTTGGGAGCGCAGCGGCGCTCCCGCCGAGTGTTTGGATCCCACATACAGACCGGTTCCCGCTCACTGGCTGAGCGAGGTGCGGACACAGCACCGAGGGTTGCGATCCCGTTGCCGGTCCCGGTCCGGTACGGGCGCGACACTGAGGGTTGCGATCCGTTGCCAGACACGAAAAAAGACAAAAATAAATAAAAAATAAATTAAAAAAAGAAAAGAAAAGAAAAGAAGAGCTCTTCCTCATTCACAAAAGAAATAATCAGATGAATTAAAAATCTAAAAATATATAATTAAATTATAGAAGTCTTAGAAGGAAAGCTAGAATATTATATTAATCTTTGGGTAGGAAAAGCCTTCCTGTGCGAGACATAAAACACAAAAAACATACATGAAAAGGCTAAACTAAAACCTTCTGTAGGGTGACAAGCACCAGGAGGAAAGTTAAATGATAGAAAACAGACCAGAAGAAAACACTTTACGCATGTAAATAGCTCCTCCACATGGATAAGGTGACAAACGATCCAGTCCAAAGGTGGGCAAGGCTGTTGAGGCAACAGATAACAGAACCTCACCAATCATCGATGAAATGCAAAGCAAAACATTTCACCTGTGACACCAGCAGAGCCTAAAATGTGACACAGTCCACATTCCCTTATCCAGCCCTTGGGGCCAGTTGAGTTTCAGAAATCAGAAGTGAGAGCCTTTAGGAAGTTTTGACAGTGTCTATTCCATACCTTATAACACTCCCCGTGGGTCCCAAGGTAAGACCTTATGATCTAACTCATTACTTCTGCCGTGAAACATAAGAGTATTCACAATTGTGGAAAGAGACATTGTAAACAAATCCACATCAGCTCATGTCACGTGTTGCCACCCAGTGAGCTACAGAAAACTTTTAATTTTCAGGACTTTCTGGATTTTGTCATTGCAATAGGAGTGTGGACTGTGATATCTGTGGTTAGTGAGGGAAATACGTACCCTTCTCCACTGTTTATTGCTGAAATAGTCTTTTGGGGAGGAAATTTAGCAGTAGTTATAAGAATTCTTAACTCCCCATGTCAAAATAATTACGTTGGATTTATTCTTCACCCTCTACAGCAAGATAAAATCCAAATAGGTAAATATTTAAATGCAAAGTAAAATATAAAAGTCCTAGAAGTGTGGGAGACTTATTTTTTAATAATATGTGTGGGAAAGAATTTCTAAAAATGATAGAAAACCAAGAAGCCATAAAATAATAGATCCATTGATTCAACTACTTAAGTATTAAAACATCATAAACAGAGTTATAAAAATGAGGGGGGACCTTTGCAAGACATAAGACAAATTCACTAATATATAAAAAATTCCTAACCAATAAGATAAAAGCCAACAACCAATAGAAAAACGGACAAATGATATGAACAGTGGGATATATGCGGCTATGGAAGAGAATACAAAAGCGCTTTTATATACTGATTTGAAACGATCTTTGATTCAAGGGTACTTCAGAAAGTTCATGGAAGAACTAATAAATAGATAATATGACTTCACGAACTTTTAGAAGACCCTTCATATATATTGTGAAGGTTTTTAAAAATACAGAGCATATACTATGCTATCATTTGTATACAAAAGGGGTAATTTTTATAAATACCTGCTTGTATATGCATGAAAAACTTCTCAAAGAATGTACAAGAAGTAGGTAATATTGTTTGCCTTCAGAAAAGGGATCTGAGTGGCTATTTTCATTGTTTATCCTTTTGTACTTTTGAAAGCTCAAAAAATAAATGTTTTAAATAAAGATAGTAGAAGGTTCATTCTCTTTGACCCAGGAATCTATCCTGTAATAGCGCTTGCACATGGGCACAGAGACACAGGGATGGACGTTTATTGCATTCATAGTGAAAAATTGGGAACAAATGTCCATCAATAAGGGAATAGTTATACAAATTTTTGTATGCATTGCAACTGCTTAAAAATGTGAGATGCAGACATGGAAAGACTATACCTATTAAGTATTGAAAAGCAAGATGCAGAATAGACAGATACAGCATGGTCTGTTTTCTGTTTGAAATGAATTTGTGTTGATAATCACACAGAAAAGTTCTGGAAGAATATACAAGGGCACTTCAAAAAGTTCGTGGAAAGATTCATATCACCTTCTTTTTTTTTTTTTCCTTTTTGTCTTTTTTACTGACTGGTAATGGGATCGCAACCCTCGGTGTCGCACCCGTACTGGGGACCGGCAACGGGATCACAACCCTCGGTGTTGCGCCCGCACCTCACTCAGCCAGTGAGCGGGAACCGGTCTCCACATGGGATCCGAACCCTCGGCGGGAGCGCCGCCACACTCCCAAGCGGCACACTCTCCAGTGCGCCACCGGGCCGGCCCTCATATCACCTTTCAATTCTATTTTACCATGAACTTTTTTCTTTTTTTTTTTTTTTCTTTTTTTTTTTTTTTTGTAACAATACCACATATACACTTAAGATAAAGACAAATTTGATATGTAACAGATTACCATACATACAACAAAAGCTCCACCAAGAGCATGAGTAAAGTAACATAAAAATCAGAGAATGTCTATAATCATATTACTAAATTGATTAAAATTTATTTAAGGTGTGACATGGGAAATTATTTATAGAACTATTACAAAAATTCAGGCGAATAAAAGATAGTTATAAATTGGAGCAAACTTAGGAGTGCAATATAAAAGTAGTCTCTAAATCAAATAGGGTAGCTGGCATTCAGGTAACGAACAGGGAACAACGTTAAGAATCCCTTTCAAAGCCATTCTGGAATCATGAGAATATTAAAATGTTATTTTTATGATAGCAGAATCAGTATATCAAACTGATTATATATTACAAAATATAAATAATTCACTACTCTGATTCATAAAATGGTGTGAGTTGTTGTATTGACAACTAGATAAATTTACCTAAATAGCTAAATTTTGTAGTATTAAGACAGTTCTCATTGATATTTTGAATATCTGTTACAGAGTGACATGGGGGAACAAAGAAGACATGTCATCACATGAGATAAAGAAAATATGGAAATTATTAAATATTTCAGAATAGTTCCATTTGAGTAATCACAATATATCTTTTGTAACACATTTTGTATCTTGAATTTAGTAAGTGTACATATTTCTATTGTGTTTATATTCTCTCTATATTAGCATGTTTTATGTTTGATGTCTGGTTCTATCCTCAAATGATAATTTGGGAATTGACGTACAAGTTTTTGATATTCCACATTCTGGAGCAAATGCACGTAATGGTAGTAAAATTAATATTATTGGATTTAGTTATTATAATTTAGTTTCCCATGTCCAGAAGATAGTAGATGAAAAACTTGAAAAATAAGATTGTATTAATATGATGTTTATTCCTATATATCCATACCTTAAATATATATTTATCAATTCAAATGTAATCACATATACTTCTATATATGAATATGTATTACATTTTAGTTTCAAAAATTAGCCAAAAGAAAAAAGAAACAATTTTACACTATCTTCAAAAGATTTTACAAAATTAAGAATAAAAACAATATTTTTATTAAATATTAAAACAGTGTTTTTTGTAGACACACATCAAATCAGATTGAATATATATCCCGTTGATGATTTCTCTGAAACTTCTTTCTGTTCACCAGATAGAACTCCTGCCTTTCCTATTTATGAGCAACCATAATTCTGTTATGAATCTTATAATTCCTTATGCACATAAGTTGCTAATGTCATGGGAGTACCCTCATATACCAAATAATTATTTCTGGTAAAGGAACGGGAATGAAGATGGGCAATAAGAATTCTGAAGGAGTGTGGTGGGTCGGCTTCTCCAGGTGGAGTCAGGGGTGTGAAAGATGTTTGGGGGTTACCCCCGTGGGAGAAAAGGAGAGGAGGCGGGGGTGGCGAGTGTCAGGCCACGCTGCCACCTGACAAGAGTGCCACCTGGAGGAGAGTGCTCCCGTGCTGGCCTGAGAGGAGCGTCACCTCAGCTGAAATGCTGGGCGGATCCTAAAGGGGCCACAGCTGTGGCTGTTGTCCTTGCATCTGGGCCCTAGGTTCTTAAAGGGTGATCTGAGTGGCACCTTTCAGTGTCTGCCGTGGGGAAGGGGTTACTTTTTACAACAGAAAGTTTTTTCATTTAAAACAAAACAAAGAGAGGAGATCATAGATGGAGCTAAATCACTTGAGCCCATGGAGCAGAGTGTGTCTGGTGGGGACAGAACAGCTCACTTGCCCTCACGCTGGCCATCTCTCTCTCTCTCCCTGCAGATCCTTCCGGCTGGTGGACGGGTCGACTACGGGGCAAGCAGGGCCTGTTCCCCAACAACTACGTGACCAAGATCTGAGGCTCCCAGAGACTCTGACGCATGGGGTGGAGGAGCTCCAGGCACAGACAGGGGAGGGGACACTGGGGGCTCCCCACCTGATCCACAGTGAGCAATTGCTTCTCCAAGGCCTGGAGCTATTCTGGCACCTTCCCCATGGAAGACACAGAAAAGGCTGGGTTGAAGGACAGCGAGTATCACTCCATAAATGATCCTAAAAGGTGGCCTGTTCATTGGAATCCGGGAGGGTAAAATAAACACCCACTAAGATTTATTTATTGTATTTAAACCTGGTGAGAGGACAAGCGAGGTCCACTGGGACCTTGTTGGCTTCTATCAAAATAGCACCCCACTGGCTCACCAGGCCCGTGGAATGGCTGTAGGCAGCCGCTGACAAGTGCCTTTAGTTGAAGAGCACATTTCTTTCACCCCTCTTTTCCATATCTGACACACCTCTCTGCCACCTTCCCTCAGGGAGGACCTGCCCTCTGCAAGCTGGGCTCAGCATGAGTGTGCACTTCCTGTGCCAATGCCAAGGGCGGGCGGGCCTGCTGAGCCCACAGGGGCAGAGGGGCGCTGGTTTACACTTTGCCGGGACCACTGGGGCTGCCGGGCAGGACAGGGGCTGGGGGCTGGGCTGTCGGCCTTGCTTTTCTCTAGGTCTTCAGTTGGAATGTGGCTGGCCCATGTTGGTTTCGTGTTTAATGCTTACTTGTACTTATTACTTTTTTTCAAGCTGTACATTTATAAAAACAGATCATATACTGTATATATAAAAAAACCTCGAGATGATAGAAACATGTATGAATGTACTACGTAGTATTCCACTGTACTCATTCATAAGGTAGGTTTTATTACAAAACTCGCACCAGGTACTTACAAATGTGCTCTGCTCCTTGTCAACTACAGAGTCACTGCTTTCTAGCTCAGTCCCTGCAGACCCTTCTCAACCCTTTCCCTGCAGGTAATTTTCCTCTGCCCCTCTGCATCCCTTCCCCTCCCTCCTGAATAAATAGAGGAATCAGTGAACCACCTTGTTCTTTCATGTCTGTTGTGGTTGAATTATGTCCCCCAGAACACAGTGTTGGAGTCCTAACCCCAGTACCTCAGAATAGGACCTTATTTGGAAATAGGATGTTTACAGAAGTAACAAAATTAAAACGAAATCATTAGGGTGTCCTGATAAAAAGGGGGAATACGGACAGGGAGACCAAGGCACACAGAGGAAAGACGGCTGTCTACCAAGGAGAGGGGCCTGGAGAAGATCCTTCCTCACAGCCTTCACGAGAAACCAACCTGCGACGCCTCGATCTCGGACTTCTGGCCTCCAGAGCTGCGAGACAACAAATCTCAGTTATTGAAGCCACCCAGTGTGTGGCACTTTGTTAGAGAAGCCCCAGCAATACTCGTGGCAGTAATAGTGAAAAGCTGGAAACAAGGCGATGTCCATCAGGAAGGGAGTGGCGGTGAGAGGAGACATTTCTCTACCTCCCCTCTTGCAGCTGCCACAGCCACTCTTCAGCTACTGGGAAATGAGAGTTTGACCAGCATATGCTTTTTTGTCATTTCCAGACCCCCAAGTCCATGGGAAAGAATTTATCAGGCGTTACATACAAAGAAAAAGTTTATCGGGATTTGGAGCAAAGATAAGCCATTTAATTCTCCTGTGTTTTACTTAAGAACAGGGAGTTATAAAAACAGTAACAATAACAAATCACGTTTAAAGGATATTTCAGTTCTCTTTTGTGACCAGTTAGGAGAGCAAGGGAAATAAAGCCGTAATGTGATGAACTGAGGAAAGGTAAGCCTTTTGACACTAATGGTCTCTTTATAGTTAGTTCCCAAAGTACTTTCACGTTGGTGGACTCACTGAGAGTGGGAGGAAGGAAGAGAGACCAGAACTGGGCCAGAGGAGCACGCTGAACGCCCACAGCCGCCAGCACACGGCCGCGTCCTCACAGGCAGGAGCCCCAGGATTCCTTGCTCCCATAAGCCCCTGGCATCTTCAACTTGGGGATGGCTGAGAGTCCTCGGGCTCTAGGTGACCAAACGGGAACTGAGTTCAACACCCCCCCAAGCAGCACGAAGAGCCCTTGTCCCCTGTGGAGGCGCTCAACAAATGCTGCTTGGCTAGTTGAGTGGATCCATGTTTATAGGTGAAGAACAGTTAGAACCTGAGTACAGATGCTGAAGTTCTGTAACTATTCATTAAAAAGTTTGGAGAAATATTGGTTTACTCAAACATTTCTACATATTCAGCAATTTAATGTGAGGGCTACTGGGAAAATCTGGGATAGATAAATAATACTTCCTTTTTTTCCTAATTAAATAGTCTTCAGAAAAATACCTTTTTCTAGGGCCAGCCTGTGGCTCACTCGGGAGAGTGTGGTGCTGATAACACCAAGGCCATGGGTTCAGATCCCTGTATAGGGATGGCCGGTTAGCTCACTTGGGAGAACGTGGTGCTGACAACACCAAGTCAAGGGTTAAGATCCCCTTACCAGTCATCTTTAAAAAAAAAAGAAAGAAAGAAAGAAAAATGCCTTTTTCCCTCTAGGGTAGTCAAGTCGTTAGCCTAGATTTCCTCCATACTCTGTATCTAGCCAGGCCTGCCATTTTGTTCACTGTTCAGTTAGAGAAACATGATTGTCTCAGGAGCCACTTATCCTGAGAGAACATAAAGATGTAGGGGCCATCCCTTCCTTCTGGAACTTGCCATCCTGTTTGAAATAAGGAGTGTGCATGTGCACACACATGTACAGCAGTATCAAATGCAGTATAAAGAAGTGACAGATCCCTTCTACCAAAGGTTTAAAGTAACCAAGAACCAAATAAGCAGCCTGACCACAGACTTTAGGGCAGAGGTGTTTAAACTTTAGCTGTAGACCAGCAGTTCTCAAATTTGTTGGCCTCAGCCCTTTACACTCCTCAATATTATCGAGGAACCTAAAGAGTTCGGCTTATGTTGGTTATAGCTGTCAATATTTACCATATTATAAATTAAAACAAATTTTTGTTGTTGTTCTTACTGAACAGAGTTTGAGCTAGAAAAAACTGAGAAAATTTTAAAACACTTAGGTACACAAACACGTTCCAGAGTAATGATATCATCACACATCATGTAGCTTCTGGAAGATTCCACCATACACTACTGAAAGTATGAAAGAAAAAAAAAAAAAGCCAATACAGTGAACATGCAGTAAAAGAAGTCAAGAAAGCTAGCCCATTTACAATAGCCACCAAAAAAATAAAATACTTAAGAATAAAGTTAACCAAGGATGTGAAAAATCTCTACGAAGAGAACTACAAACCACTTACTTAAGAATAAAGTTAACCAAGGATGTGAAAAATCTCTACGAAGAGAACTACAAACCACTTACTTAAGAATAAAGTTAACCAAGGATGTGAAAAATCTCTACGAAGCGCCCCCCCAACCACTGTTGAGAGAAATTAAAGAGGACACAAGAAGATGAAAAGATATCCCATGCTCTTGGATCAGAAGAATTAACATTGTGAACATGTCCGTACTACCCAAAGTGATCTACAGATTCAGTACAATCCCTATCAAAATTCCAATGACATTTTTCTCAGAAATAGAAAAAACTATCCAGACATTTATATGAAATATAAAAAAAGACCATGAATAGCCAAAGCAATCCTGAGCAAAAAAATAAAGCCAGAGGCATAAGACTACCTGACTTTAAACTATACTACAAAGCTATAACCAAAACAGCATGGTGCTGGCATAAAAACAGACACACGGATCAATGGAATAGAATAGAGAATCCAGAAATCAACCCACACACCTACAGCCATCTGACCTTTGACAAAGGCACCAATCCTATACACTGGGGAAGAGACTGCCTCCTCAGCAAATGGTGCTGGGAGAACTGGATATCAATATGCAGAATGAAACTAGACCCATACCTCTCACCATATACCAAAATCAATTCAAAATGGATTAAAGAATTAAATATACATCCTGAAACAATAAAACTCCTTAAAGAAAACAAAGTGGAAAAACTCTAGGAAGTAGGACTGGACACAGACTTCATGAATATGACCCCAAAAGCACAGGTAACCAAAGGAAAAATAAACAAATGGGAGTATATCAAACTAGAAAGCTTCTGCACAGCAAAAGAAACAATCAACAGAGTGAAAAGACAACCAACAGAGTGGGAGAAAATATTTGCAAAATATACATCTGACAAAGGATTAATATCCAGAATATACAAGGAACTCAAACAACTTTACAGCAAAAAAACAAAT